TGTTCTGCTATGTACTTCAAACTTCGTTGGTCTGTCCTTATGATAAATTGGCGTCCCAATAGGTATGTACGCCATTTCTGTACTGCCATTACCACGGCCATCAWTTCCTTGACATAGGTGGACTGATTTTGGTGAGCTGCTGAGAGAGCCTTGCTGAAATAAGCAATGGGTTGCCCCTTCTGCATCAGAATGACCCCCACTCCGACACCCGATGCATCACACTCTATCTCAAAGGGCTGAGAGAAATCCGGAAGAGTGAGGACTGGAGGGTTAGAAACTACTGTCTTCAAAGGCCCGTTGGGCATCATCAGCCTACCCAAAAGAATCCTTCTTTAACAGGCGCGTTAGAGGGGTGGCCATAAGCCCATACCCCTTAATGAAGCACCTATAATAACCGATAAGCCCAAGAAAGCCCCTGAGAGCCTTTACAGTAGTGGGCTTGGGCCATTTTCGGATGGCATCTATCTTTTCTGGGTCTGCCATGACCCGCCCTGCAGCAACCACATGGCCTAAGTACCGAATCTGTCTTTGTCCAAAGGAACACTTTGTCAATTTGGCATGCAATTGGTGCTCTCTCAGAATTGTGAGGGTAAGTTCCAGATGTTTCATATGGGTGCCCCAATCCTTGCTGTAAACCAAAATGTCATCGAAAAATACCAGAATAAATTGCCTTAGGAACGGCCTGAAGATGTCATTCATGAGGGACTGAAAGGTGGAGGGGGCGTTGATAAGACCAAACGGCATAATTTGAAACTCATAATGGCCATCGTGGGTCCTAAAGGCTGTCTTGTGGATATCAGCCTGGTGAACCCGGATCTGATGATACCCGGACCACAGGTCTAGTTTGGAGAACACTTGTGCTTCCCCTAACTCGTCCAGCAGTTCCTCAATGAGGGGTATCGGTAACTTGTCCTTCACTGTAATCTGATTCAAGGCCCGGTAATCTACGCAAAAACGCCAACTACCATCCTTCTTCTTCACTAGTACGGGGGATGAAAACGGGCTGGTGTTGGTCTGTATATGCCCCTTGTCCAGTAGCTCTTTTACCGCCTTCTCAATTTCTAGCTTTTGGAAATAAGGGTATCTATATGGCCTCACATTGGCTGGTTTGGAATCTGGTAAGAGGGGTATCTGATGATCATGGGCCCGAGGTGGAGGTAACTGGTTTGGTTCCTTGAATATGTCACCAAATTGATCGAGTATCGATCTTAGGGCCTTGTGTTGGGCTTCCGTGGGTTGGTCACAGTCCTGATTGTTTAAAATTGGAACTGTGGGCCGAATGCCTAAGTGCATAAACAAGGGTTGTCCAGCATCCTTGGAGGCCCGTATTATAGAGGCTAAAGTATCACCTCGGGGACTAGGGGGCCGCACCCCTTGTAAATGGCAGGTCTGTCCATCTTGGCAAAAATCCATTGTCATTTTGGCCCAATCACACAGTGCCGGACCTAGGCCGCGTAACCAATGGATTCCCAAAATAATATCAGCCC